CAAATCTCCTCAATCACTCCAAAGTAACTAATTGATGCCATGATGGGGTTTTTGTCCTTTGCACTAGAAAAGTGCATAGATGTTGCCTCAATAGATACTCCACTATTCTGGACCGTACTTTTGTCATCTTGTGCCTTCGTATAGAATGAGTATTTGTTAATGTCATACCCTTGCCAAGTTATAACATTATATCTAGGCCCATGTGCTAGCCATTTCAGTGTATCAGAGGCATTGTCACTTGAAAATATTTTGCTTTGAAACCAATTGATAAAGTTGTTGTTATGCTCTTTCATCAACCACCTTTCACCCATTTTGGGGTTTAGGTCCTTTAACATTGCTTTATGCGCATCTATGTAAGGAATAACCTCTTCTGTATTGTTCAAAATATACAAGTGGGCGGTGCTCAACTCAACATGATCTTTTGTTTGAATTCTAATACCACGAGTTCCCTTACCATTTAGCCTATCATCATGACGATTTCTAGGTACACCCACAGGTACGACTCTTGCCAAGTAATCTGAACAAAATTCTATGGCTTCTTCTGCAATATACCGCTCAACAATTGAAGCTTCAGGTCTATATGGATTTTTAGAATACCCTTTGAAGATCTTCATGTATCGCTCAATTGGGTACATCCACCTCAAATAAACCGGCCCACAAATTCATATCTCCCTCACAACATGAACGATTAAGTGAATCATTATATCAAAGAATGATGGAGGAAAATACAATCCCAATTGACATAGCACAACCGTAGCCTCATTTTCCAACTCATCTAGTGATTTTTCATCGATAACCTTGGCACAAATAGAATTGAAGAAAAAACATAGTCGCATAATGACATGTCTAACATTCTTAGGCAATATGTTACGTATAGCCACGGGTAACAACTGTTGCATCAAAACGTGACAATCATGAGACTTTATCCAATTAACTTCAGATCTTTCATGGATACAAGACTCTTAATATTTGAAGAGTATCCTTGTGGCACTTTAATACTTGCAAGACAATGACATAAACTACGTTTCTCCTTCTTTGACAAGGTGTGACATGCTGGTGGTAGATATGTTCTATTGCCTTCAGGCCTTGGATGTAATTCAGGACGTATTCCCATCTCACAAAGGTCTTGACGTGCTTTGATCCCATCCTTTGACTTTCCTTGAATGTTTAACAATGTGCCAATGAGACTATCACATACATTCTTCTCCACATGCATAACATCAATACAATGTCGTACTTCTAAATGGCTCCAATATGGAAGATCAAAGAAAATTGATCTCTTCTTCCACATGTTCTTGTCAGAAGACCTTTTTTGGGTCTTTCCAAATGTAATGCTTATGTTCTTCACTCGATCGTAAACTTCTAAACCAGTCAATGGTTCTCTGGCAATTTCATCCTCCTGTATGCCATTAAAAGCTTTCTTCAGTCTACGGTATGGATGGTCATGCGGGAGAAATTTTTTGTGCCTGTTATAAACTGTCTTCTTTCCATGTTTCAATTGTATATAACTGGTCTCTTCTTCACAAATAGGACAAGCATAATGCCCCTTCACACTATACGCACTCAAGTTTCCATAGGTAGGGAAGTCATTAATGGTGCAAAATAACATTGCATGCAACTTGAACTTCTGCTGCTGATACCCATCAAATGCATCTACTCCTTCCTCCCATAATAGTGTTAAGTCTTCTATCAAAGGACTCAAATACACATCTATGTCATTTCCTGGCTGTCTTGGACCTGAAATCATCATACACAACATGACATATTTGCGCTTCATGCATAACCATGGTGGAAGATTGTAAATCATCAATAAAACGGGCCATGAACTATGGTTACTACTTAAATTTCCAAAAGGATTCATCCCATCTGTTGCTAATCCAAGTCTAAGGTTTCTTGCATCACTACCAAAACTTGGAAATAGACGGTCAAAATTCTTCCATTGGGGAGAGTCGGATGGATGTCGCATTTGCCCATCACATGTTTTTCTCTTTGAATGCCAAATTAAATTTTCAGCATCTTCGTGAGAGTACAACCGCCTAAATCTTGGAATAATTGGAAGATACCATAAAACTTTTGCAGGAGGACGTTTTTTACCACTCTCCCGACTACAATCATCACCATCCTTCGCTTTGTAACGTGATACACCACATGTTGGACATTGGTCTAAAGATGAGAATTCTTTCCTGTATAACACACAATCATTAGGGCAAGCATGTATCTTCCTATATTCTAAACCCATCGAACATAGTATCTTCTTCGCTTCATACATACGGTCCAGACAAGGTGTTATTGTCCGGGAGCATCTCCTTCAAAAGTTGGAGTAATTCATTAAAACTTGTATCACTCCAACCAAATTTTGCTTTTAGATTGACCAATCTTAACACGGATGACAACCGTGTGAAAGTTGTACATCCGAGATACAAAAGTGTCTCCGAATCGGTCCTCAATGTATCATATATAGATGCATGTGCTTCAAGAAACCTCTCTTGACCCACATCACAAAACATGTCCTCTATTCGATCTTCGCGAGTTACATCATCCTCAATAGTTTGTGATACTTGTTGGAATATCAACCACTTCACCGTGCCATGTCCATATGGTGTAATTCTTCATCATCCCATCGCAAATAAGATGCTCCCGCGTTGTGTCCATCTCTTGTACTCTGCCATTTACACAATTAACGCATGGGCAGTAGATTTTTCCATTCATTTTGGGAGCATTTTGTTCGGCAAATTTCAAAAAGGAGTCAACTCCATTCTCATACTCTTCTGACATACGACTTGCATTGACCCAAGTTCGATCCATCTAACTACACAAGAAGGCTTGCCTAGATATTCAAGGTTTATTAGAAAAGGTTTAACAAAACAATACAAAAAAAACGTGTACATTGCCTAACAATGCTCTAATGTTCCATATACCACTTCGAAAGCTAAACCTAAACCTAAATCTAAACCTAAACGAAACCTAATGTTCCATATACCACTTCGAAACCTAAACGAACCTAGATCAAATCAAACCATATATACAAAATCATCCATCATCTTTCTAATGTTCATACGCAGGAAATGCTCTAAATAATCCATATTTATGTTAAATGCATGCTGTAAATCATCCATACAACTTAATCTAACCTGATGAGAGCGCGGCGAGTGGGCGGTGAGTGGGCAGCAGACAACAACGAATGAGGTAGCAGCGGCGAGAAGGCAGAGCGAGGGGGCGGCGAACTGGGCGGCGAAGGGGCGGCGAGGGGGCGGCGAGGGGGCAGCAGTGAGGACTGAGGCACAGCGAAGAAGAAGCAGAAGGAGGGAATATGTGGGACGAAGAAGAAGTTGAATAACCGCGCGCCTTGGATAGGACATTCAACGTCGGTTATTAAAAAACCCGACGTGGATAACGCTTTCAACGTCAGGTAAATCATGTAACCGACGTTGATTTTGGGAATTCAACGATGGTTATACATAACCGACGTTAAATTTAAACATTTAACGTCGTCTGTCATATAACCGACGTTGAATTCCAGTTACTACGTCGTTTATGATATAACCGACGTTAAATTTTGTTTCATAATTACAAGTTTGCCACCGCGTCTTGTACAACGTCGGTCTTCGTGATAACCGACGTTGGATGGTGTCGTAGAAAGTGAATTCTGTAGTAGTGTAGTAACTTCTTATATATGCCGAGGGTTTAGAAACCCTAGTTAAATCATAATGTTATAAAACATCTGTTATTAAAGGATGATTATTCTATTTATGAAGAGTTGTCTAAGTCTGATTTTTACAATACAGTAGTGAAATAAAATAAATCAAAAATAAAAAAGTAAATAGAAATAAGTAAAAAAATGTTACAAATTAAAAAATAAATATAAATTTAAAAAAGATAAAAATGAATTAAAAAGGGTAAAAATAAAATAAAAATTACTAGTATAATTTATTGTATTTTTACTCAATTTTTGAAGTACTAAATAATCAATATTATTTTTTTACTGTCTCTTTGTTATTTCTATCTTACCAAACTAAGACATAAATGTGAGGGGATGGGCTCAGGTCCTTGGGCCGTAATTCCATGGTATTGACTCCCTGGGCTTTTGATCCAACAAAAAAAAAACTCCCTCGACTTTGGTCCGTACTTTGGAAGGACGCATCTCAACTTTTAAACGCACGTTTCGATGTGCTTTTGTGAGAATTTCATTTTGAAATTAATTTTAATTTTGAGTTTTTATTTTTTATTTATATTTTTAAAGGTAATTATGTTTTAATTATTATTTATCTTTAAATTTCATATTTGATAATATTTTTGACCCTCAAGAAATTGACAAAATAATTACATTTACATAGTTATTTTTAATCATTTTAAAATATAAACATCGAAACTAAATTTGGAAAAAAAAGTACTACAACCAAAAATATATTGTACTTATTTCTTTTTCAATATATATCTTTGTTATTTAAAATATTTTAAACCTTTTTATATTAAAAATAATTTTATAGAATAAAATTAAAAATAATAAATAATAAAACAAAATAAGCTATTAATTTTATTTTACTTTTTTACTAAAAGGGGTTACGATTTTTAATTTGAGAATTTTTAAGACTATTACGCAAGAGATAAAAGTTAACTTTGAAAGGATTTCAAATGACATAAGTTGACAAAAATTAATGAAACAATTTATTATAATAAGAATATTTAAGAGAATATAAAATATTTAAGAGAAAAAAATAATTTATGAATTAAACAATTTATTATAATAATATTTATTGGAGTGAAAATTATCGGTTACTTGAAATTGACATATATGAACTCAGTTAGAAATAAAATGAGGTTTTTATACAAATAAGTGATTTTTTTTTTAATTTTAAAAAACTATTAGATCAAAAAACAAATATTTATTGAAACCAAAACTGGTTATTGACTTGATTCTCCTAATAACACAGACTTTGAATTGAAAGAAATGAAAATAGAAAATATAAACAGTGAAGTGTGTTCGAAGTGAGAATTGGCGAATGAGAATCCAATCGAAGAAGAGTAGCAGTGCAGCATCCAAATTGCTGGCCATGGCCAAGAAGGGAAGCTCCAAAACAACCATTTTCTTCATCTTCGTCTCTTTCATACTTTTCTGTGCATTTCTCCCTGTTTTCGCTCCTCTTCCTTCTCTCCACTCTCACTCTACTCGCCATTCTCATCGCAATTCAGTAAGTTTCTTTACTCATTCTCTCTTTTATATTATTTTTTGCATCTCAATATTGTCAATTTAGTTACAAAATTACATGAGCTAGCTCTTTGCAAAATCGGTAAATGCTAAAATTGATGTGTTAGTTGAACCAGTGATCTTGGGCTGTGCTGTTAGTTACCTGATAGTGAAAGAGTTTCTAACTTTTAGCCCTTTTTATTAAAAAAATGAAAAAAATATTATAAGTACTGTCTTCAATTCTGTAAGATAACTTGGGTTATAGTTTGTTTGTTATTTTCTACCTTAATAACTAGCTGTGATTGTTGGCAATCAGGTTAACAGAAAGTTTGAGATTGAGAGTGACAGGTTCTGGAGAGATGGTGAACCGTTTCAGATCATCGGTGGTGATGTGCATTATTTTCGAGTGCATCCAGAGGTAGTACACTTCTTGTTGACATCTCTTTGTTTAGTGAGAGTGGGAGGGATTTTCAGCACCCTGCCTGCCTGCGCACCCACTACACATCATGATTGTGTTACAAATCAATGGCAATATTATTTGCTGCTTCCCCTTTAAAGCTGTTTTGGTTCTTTTTTCTTGGTATTTTATGCTCAGCGGAACAAGAAAATGGAGTGAGTTATCATGTTCGCTTGGTATCTTCCTCATAAGGATAGCACAGATTGATAAATGAACTTTTACTCATTATTCTCTCAGACGTCATAACTCATTAACATTTTGTTTTGTTCAAGTTAAGTGCTTTTATATGGTGATGTTGTTTTCTTTCTAATTGGTAGTACTGGGAAGATAGACTGTTAAAAGCCAAGGCATTGGGCTTGAACACAATTCAGACATATGTTCCTTGGAATCTGCATGAGCCAGCTCCAGGAAAGTTTGTTTTTGAGGGTTTCGCAAACATTGAAGCATTCCTCAACCTTTGCCACAAACTTGGTCTCCTTGTGATGATTCGACCCGGACCATACATATGTGGAGGTTGGATATACAAATTAAATGCCTGTTTACTCAATTAATCAGGGAACTTCAAGTTTTTCTAGGTTATGAAAACACAATTTGCTGATTTTTCATATATACCTTATCAGTGGATAATGTAATTTTTGGATTGTACTTGCTTAGATTTGTATATCTCGTTTAACAAAAAAGCAGAATTGTAAAACCCATATCATACCCGTTCCATGATATTTTTAATTGCCTTCCTGATTTATTCTATTCAGGTGCCCCATCCAAGATTATATGGAATATTATATATGTTAGGTTCACTTACTAAAATTATTTATAATGACCAAGTTTCTCCACCCTAAAAGCCATCCTTTGCTCTGCCTTTTCTAATTGTAGTTTCTCGTGTATGGTTTTGTTCTGCTGCTTACATTTCATTTAATAAACATCATAAATTACAGATCTGAAATTCATTTGATTTCTTTACTTCATCCTGCTTATATGCAGGGCTATATGTCAATTATAAATTTTAATGATTTTCTGTTATGATTTTCAAATATAATAGGCCTTTCGAATTTATTATGCCAATCCATGATGACAAATTGTCATTTTTTCCTGTGTAGTATGGCAGCAAGAGAAGGCACATTTGTTTTCTGTTGCCAATCCAATGTCTGTATGCCCATCGTCATCTTTATTATTTCCATTTCTTACTCTTCATAGATGACACAGAAGGAAAATAATGTTTGGCTTCTGTTTGCTGTGCACTAACTTTGACATTGTTCTAGAATAAAATCTTTTATATAGATATCTTATTTCCTCTTTTATACAGTATATTTAATCCCCCCACCTGGAATCTCCATTGGTGTTGATATTTGATTGAAAATGATGAACAAGAATTCAAGGTGATGAGTAACTGTTGATTTATTTCAGAGTGGGATTGGGGCGGTTTCCCAGGTTGGTTCTATTCCATGAACCCAACCCCCAAGCTAAGATCATCTGATCCTACTTATCTTCAACTGGTATGCTTTCCTTAATATGTTTTATAATAATGTTGGACTTCCATGCAACTAACTTCTTTATACTCACAAATCTTATGATTGAAGTTGTATTTTTATGTTTTTTCTTCTATATTTCTATGTGTTATATGCTTTCTGTTTTTCCGCTTTTCCCTCATGTTTTGCAATTTTGGAAATACAAATCAACTTTTCTCTTGTGTTTTATAATTGATTCATATTTTATTAGATATTCTCTCTCATGTTCCATGTTCTTTCTTCTTCATTTAAACATGTAAGTTTTTTAGTCTTTGACAGTTTCTGTTTTGTCTGCATGATAGTCCTAACTTTCTAAGAAGAATGTAAATGCAGTATTCTCTTATTTATGTGGAATCATACAATGCTATATGAATTGCAGTTATGTTGTCTTAATCAGTCCAGCATCATGCTTATGATTCTTGGGCATAACATCTCAACTGTGGCTTCTATAATGGGCTGTAGCCCCTTCCTGCTTGATACCACGAGTGTTTCAGTAAACGAATCTGGAGGTTGAGATTGTTGTTAGCTCTTCTCAGCCTGGCTTCTTAGGCCTGCATGCCTTGCTTCTGTTGCATCATCTTAATGTTAATTAAGACTATGGTAACACGTAATCTCAAGATTTGAATTGAGCTCAATCATATTGTGACAATTAAAGAAGTGTTGGTTTCATTTAGAAAGTTGTTGAAACATATATACAAGGGCAGATGTTGTTTTTGAAATAACATTGCTGACATCAATATGAACTTATGCCTATTTCATAATAGGTGCCTTTATGTATTTATGTGGTGCTTGTGAGTGCTGGATGTTGGGTGTCTCTCATTTAATAATCCATCTGAAGCCTTTTAGGCTTTGCCTGTGTAGTAAGCTCCTTAAGTAAGCCTAAGACTGTCAAGATTTAGTTTGGTTATGTTGACAGCCTCCTCGGTCAATATTTCTGCTCGAACTAACCAAAATTTAGTATGATTACTCTTGCCTTATTTGAACTCCTACTACTGTGTTTTGAACTTTGAATGTAAATATAGTGAATAGAGTACAAAGACAATTTTCAAAAGATGTAGGGTATTTGAAGAAATTCTGTTTATATAGCATTGTATTTGAAATGAATTTAAGTTTTTTGTGGTCGTTTTATAACTTGTTATGTTAATTATAACATTTTGGAGTTTATTTCTTAGCTAAAGTATATGTAGATGGACTATGATTGTATCGTATTCACATCTTGATACCAAAAATTTAATGAATGATTCTAAATTCAATAAGGAAGATAATAATCAAAGATGGTTAAAAATAACTACCTTTTGGAGCCATTGTGGATTGCTGTACATATCTCTGAAGTAAGCTTTAGAAAAATAAGTTTTATTATATTTTAAACCATGAAACTAGTGAATATATAGAGTTGCAAAATTTTTTTTACCACATATTCTGGCTTGGCTTGAGAAAATGAGAACTGTGGCTCAGGGCAGGGAATATGGGGCCCTTTTCACTACCGGATATGGTTGGAAGTACCTTCAAACATGTATCTTGGGGTTAATGCACAAGGACTCTTTGCAAATGGGTTTACATCGGGATGCATTAGTAAATATGTCACTTACCAATGAAAAATGAGTGAGATTCTGATAACACAGGAATCAATTAATGCCTTTTCTCCAGGCTATACTGAATTAAACCATCTATCTGTTATTTCTAAACGGGAAACTTTGTTTGTGGCTTCATTGAACAATATCTTAAAGTGGTTGAAATGAAATTTGTTAAACAAACTGTTATGATTATTGAACTCATAACATTTTGTAAACAACTCTAGATTGTGAATCTAAGTACTGTGATTTTCATGAGGATGTCTGTCCTTGAAATCATTTGTTGTACGCTTTTCTCCATGTTTATACCTTACTTTTATTGAAGTTTGGACTCATTATAATTTGAAATTTAAGGTCGAAAGGTGGTGGGGTAATCTGCTTCCAAAGTTTGTTCCTCTCCTATATGACAATGGAGGCCCTATAATAATGGTTCAGGTATGTTGTAGAATTAGTTAATTGTATTTTCTTGATGGCATTATTTTAACAGATGTTTACAAAGCATAGAACATATTAAAGTTTATGTTCTAACTTCAGAAACAAAGAAGTTTATGTGATTAAGTTGAAAAATGAAATAATTTGCTTCTTGAAATTATAGGGGTATAATGGAAAATGGAAAGAGATATTCTGAATTATTGATATGATGTATCTTAGAGACAAATCACTGACACCATATACGAATAATTTTTGGTTATTATTAATTTGATACTAATGTTGTACATGGAACTTGATCATGTGTATGAAGCACAACAGAGAAACATTTATATATGTATATATCTATATACAATGCATATAAAAGCGGAAGAGGAATGAAGAATGAAAAGTATAAAATTATTATTACAAAATTCTTAAGAGAGCTTACAGTATTCGAATGTATTCGAGGACAAGGGAAGGCTGGGAACTTAGGCTATGAGGGAGTTGGCTGAGGAAGATAGAGTTTAAGGCTCGAGGAGAACTGTAAATGATACTTCAACAACTGACTCTTTTATAGGCCTAAAAGTTTTCCTATTCAAGATTACAACTGGCACACTATAGTAAAAAATGGCCTACAAACATCATAATTACAATTGACACGCTTTTACTTTCGGCGGTCAACGCTAAAAACAAAATAGAATAATTACAAGTGTGTTATTTTTCAACTGTGTGGGCCCCATTCATCTTTGCGTGAAGAACCAGCTAATTCCATTCTGAGGTGTGGGACCATAACATCTATTGGGCGATGGGCCAACTAAGCCCAGCTTCTTACTAAGATGCTATCTCTTAGGAGGGGAATTCTTGAAGGTTTACGTCTTCTAATTTTCTCATAATTTGATGAACTTTTCTTTGTAACTCTTCTTTGGTTGATCTTCTTTTCATGATATTATTAATCATCTTCGTTAATTCTGCTGGAATTGATTGTTAAAATTGGTCAAAATCAATGTTTTCTTCATCTTCATATGGATCCTGAGCATCTTGTAGGTTGATAATGGCTTCAGTTTCTTCTTCTTCATCAAAGCCTAGTGAGGATAATGCTTCAATCATTTTTTGTTTTAATTGGGTTTTTTCGGCTTTTGAGGAAGGGAGGTTTGATAAGTCTATAATGGCTTTTCCTTTTTCTTTTATAGATGATATTTCTCATTGGATTGGGCTTTTTTGTGTGATAAGACCCATTTTCTTCCAATTTTCAAAATTTTCTTCTACATATTGGATTTCAAATTTTTTCCACCAAAAAAATTTGGTTTTTAAGTAGAGAGTTTTAGGATAGGTTTCTTCTTTGTGTTGATGGATTTCAGGAATGTGGGCCAAAAGCCAGCTTATTCCCATGGTTGAACAAAATTTTATAATTCGAAGGTGTGGAGGGTATTTAGGAGTAAGACTTTTATATTTTTGGTACATTTTCATGATTTTTTCTGGGATTATAGATTGAACCGGGCATATTTGATGAAACCAATCAACAAACCAATTTGGTAAGGTATTGGGTACTTCTTTTTTAAAACATATATACTACGAATGCCTAGGGTTGATATCAAATAGTATCTTATTCCAGGCTTCTTGGTAATCAAAATAATTATATGAAGGGGGTCAAAGGGCCTTGAAAAACTCTTACTGTGAAAGGGTGTTAGTTCCATTCTTGATATGAAATGATTTTGATAATTCGTAATTTTGAATAACTAATTATCGAGGAATCTCTATCATTAGGAATGAGGATTATTTCTGCAGATCCTATATCTATCAAGATAAATTGATAAAATTTTTTGGTCTTTTTCAAATTTTCTGAGTTAGGGATCCAACTCCATCCTGGAGGAACTAGTTTTCTGAGTATTCCGTAAACATCTTTGGGATTCCAATCTTCTTCTAAAGTAATAATCTTCTGGCCTCCTTCTTTTATATGAAATTTCTTTTTAGGGGTTTTTTTCAGGGGGAGAATGTTGAGGAATTTGTGGTGTTAGGGGTAAATCTATTAGGTTGAGTGGTTATTGAGGTAGGAAGTTTTCGAGTGGTCATGGTTTTCGAATATGATGGGGCAAAGACATCTAAGGACAATGTAGAGGACTTTTGACTTTTTTCTGTTTTATTCTTTTCAGTCGCAACTGATGATTTAGAGGGGGTTGCCATGGGCGTGACCCTGCAAAAATTCTGTAGTTAGGAAATCCGGTATCGAATTCTCTTTTCCTTTTATAAATTCTATTTCAAATTCAAAACAGGATAATAGACTTTGCCATCTTGCAAATATTTGCTTGGAAACTATATTTTTTACGTTTTTTTTATAAACTTCTTTTGCAGATTTACAATCAATTCTTAATAAAAAAAATTTGTTTATTAGATCATGTTGAAATTTTTGTAGATTTAAAACTATACTTAAAATTTCTTTTTTAATCGTGCTATAATTCTTTTGAGAATCATTCCATATTCGTGAGTGATATCTAACTATTTGTTCAGGATTATCTTTTAACTTTTATTTTAGTATACCTCCATATCCTATATCGGAAGCATCGGTTTCTATAATTATTTTTGCTTCTGGGTTTAGTATTCCTAGACATGGCAGGGACTAAACTAATTTTTTAACCTCTATTATTATTTTAGTCATTTCTGGAGTCCATGGTTTGAGATTTTTCCTTAATCTATTTAAGAGGGGTTTACATAATATTCGAATATTAGGTATAAATTCTGATACATAGTTTAAACATCCAAAGAATCTTTGTAATTGAAGTTTGTCTTTTATTTCATTAGGAAATTTATCTGAAAATTCAATACTTCTTTTAATGGGGGTTATAGTTCCTTGATTTATTTCATGACCTAAAAATCTAATTTGTGTTTAGGCTAGTTTTATTTTCTTTTGTGATATTACCATTCCATTTGTTTTTATAATATTTTTAAATATTCTTAAATGCTTTTTATGTTGTTCTATTGATACGAGAAAATATTAAGACATCATCAATATAGACAATGACAAATTTTGAGTAAGGGTTTAATATGTCGTTCATTATTTTTTGAAATTCGGAAGGCGCGTTTGTTAAACCCATAGGCATTACGTTCCATTCATATTGCCCGAATGGTACTATAAAAACAGTTTTATGTTTGTCTTGTTCTTTTAATTTAATTTGATAGTATCCACTTTTCATATCAAATTTAGAAAATATAGTGGCATTATAAATTCTACTTATTAGTTCAGTTTTATTAGGCAGGGGATACCTAATCCATTTTAAGACTTTATTTAAAGGTTTATAATGTATTACCATTCTTGGTTCTCCTCTTTCTATTTGAGAGGCATTTTGTACATAAAAGGCAGCACAACTCCATGGATACTTGCTAGGTCTAATAAGTTTTTTATCTAAAAAAGATTTTATTTCTTTTCTGCAATATTCTAATGTTTCTTTATTTAATTGTATTGGTTTGGCTTTGGTAGGAATATTCTTTTCCGAAAATCTTTCAATTCTTTTGTATGTGATTTCTTGTTTTAAATATTTTATATGGTTGTTTTTGGCTTCCAATTTTAATAGAAAGTTTTCCTCATTTACATCATTAACTAATTGTATTTCTTTATCTTTTATTGGTTTAATAAATTCGAATAAAATATTTTTATGTCTTATTCCATTTTCGGATACTTCAAAAGGGTATATTAATGCTAAGAATGGGGTTCCTAGAATCATTTCTTCGCTAATATCAGGAGTTAGTATAAAAGTATTTTTAAAACAGGTTCCTTTATTACATATACTGGCGTTTGATAATTTATATTTTACCTTTAATTTTTCAGAATTCGTTGTTCTTAAGGTTTGTAAAGTTTTTTCATAGTATTTAGTGTGTATTAATCCTTCTCGTATACAATTTATATCAGCTCCAGAGTCCACTAAAGCTGTAAATTGTTTGTGAAAATTATTCCCAATTTTTAGTGTAACTTTTATATGCCATTTTTGTTGTAAAATTTTTATTTGATTAACCTTTTCAGAAGTCGCTGCATCATTTAGGGTAGATTTATTATTTATAGTATTCATTTTTTCTTCTTGTATTTCATTTTTTATTTTTAATTCTATTAATTAATTTTAATTTCTTTTATTTCTTCTTTTAATAGGCTTATTTCTTTTTGCAAGTCTTGTAAATTTACTGGTTTTTTTATTTATTGCTTTTCGTAATATTTTTGAGAAATCATAACCACTTACTTCTGTTGATACATTTTCAGCTTCTCTTTCGTTTAATATTAAGGTTTTTAATTTAGTTAAATATTTTTCCGTTACTTCTTCATTCCTCTTCTGCTTTTATATGCGCTGGTGCCAGAAATGGTATATATATATATATATATATATATATATATATATATATATATATATATATATATATATATATATATATATATATATGCATATCATTACATTGAGATGGGCTTACATCTAACACCCCCTAAATTTGAGGGAGTTGCAGCATTATCAACCGGGGCTGCCTGGGTAGCAGCAATAGACCAAAGTCAATACTCTGACCGAGTTTGTGACAATGATCACATTTGAGACGAACTTTTCCTGGTTTACTAGAGTAATTACAGTCATTATGCCAAGATACCAATGTAGAGGAGTCACTAGCAGGGAGTTGGGGGCAGGAGAATGTGTTTCAAGGTAGACCAAGCAGAGTTCAAGGTGGGCATAGTCCGAATACTCCAAAATCTGATCATGAAATAACGAAGATTCATTGGGAAGCCCATACAAGGCCAAAATTTGATCACGAAATAATGAATATTCGTTGGGAAGCCCATACAAGGCCATCAACATAAATAAGGTTTGCCTTCGCCTGGGTAGGAGTGGCAATAAGAGGACATAGTTCATTGAAGTCATGTCAAAGACCATGAATTTTGCCCAAGTACTTAGTTATGGATCCATAAAGGCATCTAGTGTCAACAATACACAAGAGATTTCACGAAACGTCATAAAGATATTGAGTACCATTCGTGTACAGCACCCGGGCCTATTCCTTAACCCCAACACATGTTGCATGGAAATGAATAGTCAACTTAAGAACACTACATACTTTAGACCAGTAAGGGCAATCTTTTTCAGCAATGAAGAGAGAGAGTGAGAATGTGTCAGAGCTTTGAAGCCACAATTCTGTTGGCATAGGTGTTACTTGGTCAACACGACTCTGGGGTGGGGTTGCTAGTCAGATAGCAATGACAGACAGTGGTGTAAATGGCTAAACAACAGGGGAAAAGCAGCCAGAAAAATGTCATGGTGAAATGGGATGCTGGAAATTAGAATGAGACACAATTTTCAGAAAAAAAAAAAAAAAGTTGACACCGATGGATAGTAGTTCAAGAGGAAAGCATGAATCCAGGTTAGGTTTGATATACCATGTTGAAAAAAATGGTTTAGATTCATATGATAGAATCCTGAAGCACAACAAATGAACATATATAAAAAACAATAAGAATCCTATTATTTCAACATTTCTCCTTCTATTTATTTTTGCCAAAACTTAAGCTGTGTGTGGTTTGCGTACATTTAGTGGAAAGTAGTTTGTCTCAATGTGCAAGCTTGCCTCTACTTATGTGAATCCCTGAATGGTTAAATTTCATTGTTAAGATTGGACTTAATTTCACAATTATTGAATATTTTTCAGGATTTGTGCATTTCTTCTGTTTTGAATGTTAACAACCTATCATATGAAAGGAGACGTATAATGAGTTATATGACATTGTTTGACAGATTGAAAATGAGTTTGGTTCTTATGGAGATGACCAAGCATATCTCCATCACCTGGTCACCCTGGCTAGAGGTCATCTTGGGCATGATGTTATTTTGTAAGGGTTGTAATTACGTTTTTATCCCTCTCACTTCATTGCTCTTAAATTTAAGTATCTTTCTGTAGCATGATATCTAGACGCTACAGTACAATATGTTGGTTTGTAGGACTAGTGTCATCTGAAGAGTTAGACCATGGCATTTAGTTCTCCCCTTTCTGTCTGTATCTGTCAATCTCAGTAATTAACAACCTAAATTTCAATGCGAATAAAGATGCAAAGAAGATGGTGATAAGAAATGGACAAATTGGACAAAGGAGGGAGAATATAGTGAAAGAGGAGGATGTAGTGGGAGAACCTAAGTCAGGAAAAGAAGTCAGTCAACCCCAAATAGTCTCATTTTTAAATTAATGAGGTTAAAACATTAGTTATTAACTGACATCCAGTCAAACAATTAAATCAATAATCACAAGCATCATGAATGTTCCTAGTTATTCATTTTCTTCTCTTAATCTCACTTTTGCAATCATATCCTCCATGAAGGTATCCATACGTGTTCTTCTGTTCCCCGATGGGGACTGTATCTAAAAAATATGCAATTTTTAATTTTCTTGCATCTTCATAATTAATTTTATCAAACTTAGTTGACAGTCTCATAGGAATTCCTGTCTAGACATTTTATAATTTGTTCAAGGAATGAAATAAATGGTAACCAGTTTTTTTAGAACCAATAATTTGGTGACAGCTAAGGTTCTCGCTTGTCTACACTTTTGCAGTGCCCTTTATATTGTTTCAAGGCAGAAAAATAATGTGCAATAGTCATACATCCTTCAGAAAAAAAGTATTGATATGTTTATTGAAGTTGAATTCCAACTTTTGAACTTCTATTTGTAATGTTGAAGTATAACCCTAAAAAAAAAAAATTAAACCGATGGGGGAAATGTCATATCTAGTCAAGTTTGATTTCCATATCTTTTTGTTAATTCCTTATATTCACTTTATTCAGATACACTACAGATGGAGGCACGAGGGAAAGCCTTGAGAAAGGATCTATTCGTGGGGATGCTGTCTTTTCAGGTGAAAATTTGGTTATAATAAATGTTATTTTAATGTTTTATAAACATGTATTTTCTTATCCTTATTAATTTGTTGTTGACTGACATGACTGATATATACACACACACACACACACACACACACATATATATATATATATATATATATATATATATATATATCTTTTTGTAGCTGTTGATTTTAGTACTGGTGATGATCCTTGGCCTATATTCAAGTTACAGAAAGAGTTCAATGCCCCAGGAAAATCACCACCTTTGTCAGCGTAAGTGTACTCCTGTGAAATATTATTTTTGTTTATCAAATGCAAAATACTCAAAGTGCTTGTGTCATATCAGCGAGTTTTACACTGGGTGGCTAACACACTGGGGAGAGAAAATTGCCATGACTGATGCTGATTTTACAGCAGCTGCTCTTGAAAAAATTTTGCAAAAAAATGGTTCTGCAGTCCTCTATGTATGTCTCGACCTCTACCTTTGTCTGTCTGAAAATCACATTTGAATAATTCTCTTGGTTTTGGTTTTCTAATTTTCAGATGGCACATGGTGGGACTAACTTTGGATTTTATAGTGGAGCCAATACTGGTGTAGATGAGGCTGACTACAAACCTGATCTCACTTCTTACGATTACGTTAGAAATTTTTTAACCCTTATGTTGCACCTTCCATAGTGAACTGTCATGTATTGCAAACTGGACTGACTATCGCTTATCCAGGATGCACCAATTAGGGAATCTGGTGATGTTGACAACTCAAAATTCAATGGTATGGATGTAATGTTTTTGTCTCATTTTCAAGCTATCAATATTGTGTTATACTTTTTAGTTTTCTAATATATATTTACTATTTTGCAAATCTTTAACCCAAAGCTTTTTGTCAAGCTGTGGAAGCAATATTCATCGAGTCAAATAGAAACAACGTCTCTAAATAGCTATAGTTGGATATCCTAAATACATCCAAATTCCACCTTTTTATTTCTAATTACCTCTTTCTATGTTTTATGTTTCTCGTGTTTATTATATTGTTATAAATAGTCGAGGTTTCAAAATCACACCCTTTGTAACTTGGCTTTCAGAATTAAGAGATTCCTCTTATATTATAGGGAAAAGAAAATATGGTATTTGTAGTTTGAGTGTTCATGTAGAGAAAGAAAACATTCCCCATAACAAAGTCATACTTTCTACAATGAATTAAAATTATGAGGAACTTTACAATCTATAATTTTTAATACTTAAACTACTTCTGTACTGGCATAAAATATCATATATTCAGTTGAAGAATATCTTCTCGTCGATCCAAACTAACATTTGTTTCCCCTTCTGGTTTTGTCATCATTTGTTAAACTTTGTTATTTTCACTATAATCATCCAAGCAAAATTTTAAATTTGTCCTTGCATATGTTTCAGCTATTCGAAGGGTTATAGCCAGATATAGCTCGGTACCTCTTCCACCTGTTCCCTCTAATAATGAAAAGGCAAGATACGGAGCAATTCACATGCAAAGAAAGGCTTTCTTATTTGACATGTTTGATTTCACCAATGCGACTAATGTGTTTGAATCTGAAACTCCAATGTCAATGGAGTACGTGGGCCAGGTATGCCATTGCTGTTGGTGCAATATTCCTAAATTCCTAAATTGTATTATTTAAGCTTAACCTTTGTGTTCAGTCGTTTGGTTTTGTATTGTACTTCACTGAATACAAAGCGAAGAGAGGTGGAAGAATTTTGTCCATACCAAAGGTGCTGTTTCGATTCTTTCATTAGTTCTCATTTTGTTTTCTTGCTATTTTCTTCAGATACTACTATCATCTTATTTCTATTATCCACAGCTAGAAAGTTTACAGAATGTCTCATCTATCTAGAAGAATATAGTTTCTCTAAATACAATAAATGATAAATGTGCAGTTACATGACAGAGCTCAAGTATTTATTTCATGCCCTGCTGGAAAAAATGGTGCAAGGCCAACTTATGTTGGAACTATTGAAAGGTGGTTTAATAACAAACTAAGTCTTCCTGATGTTAAATGTCATTCTAACATCACGTTATTTATTCTGGTATGTACCTTCTCTCTTTATGTATTCTTATATCTTTTTTGTAAAGAAATTATTTTTTACGGTTTTTTGGTTAAAGAAATTATGTCTTGCTTGGACTAGGCAAATATCAGTTTTGATTATTTCGCTTGGTAGCAATTCAAGATCTGGTGTTCGTCCTTCATTGTGAGATAATAAGGGAGTACCAGAGAATTTAAATATTTATTGACGACTTCAACTTTGGTTTCGGTGGTAATGAAGAGAACCAAAGTCCGTAACACCTTTTGCTTTACGCTACTCAAAGAAGTTAAGAAAAATAAGGGTAAAAAATGTTGGTTTTAGTACTTGTACATTTTTTATACAAATTTGTCCCTACATTTAATAAAACATTTGTTTTTAACTTGTCTTTAGTGAAGGACTAAAACCACATCATTTTTGTTAAATTTGTTGAGACTGAAAACATATAAAATATATGAAATATATTTTGTTAAAAAAAATTAGCATTTCAGTTATTTTAAGGAACCAAAATATATTTACTTACTGAATAATGTAAGATTTGATTATGATTTTAATCTTTGAAATTTGGATGAAATCATGTTTTGGTTCTCTAAGTTAAAAAAAAAAAAATAGTCCCTTTGAAAAATATGATTTTAGTCTCGAAATATTTTAAATTTAAAGGATTAAACCAAGTTTAAAAAAATTAGTTGCTGAAGTTTAGTAATTATTTAAAATGATTTTTTATTTAAATTAGAGAACTAAAATTAGATTTATTCTAAATTTAGGGACTAAAAAATAATTGAAGTCTACTTGTAAAGTGAGTCATTTGAATTAAATATGGTGCTTAATAGCATAGTTAATAGTCAATACTAAAAGTTAGTTGCTGAATTGATATATATATATATATATATATATCATTCGATATATAGTTGGTTAATTTCTTACCTGTGTGGTTGGTTAGTTATGACTGTTAGTTATATAGATCAAGAGGCCTCACGTGATCTTCTCAGCTGATAACGTGTTATGGGATTCAGCCGAATACTTTCTTCCTCTTTTTGTCTTTTGTAGGTTGAAAACATGGGCCGTATAAATTATGGTGCTTTCATCTTTGATAGGAAGGTATAGGTCATCTGAAGCTGATGCTGCCGCTCTAAATGTTTGATGGTAATTAGTTGATGTTTGACACAACTTCTACAGGGCATTCTATCTTCAGTTTATCTGGACGGGGAAAATGTAAAAGGGTGGAAAATGTTTCCTGTTCCTTTGCACAACCTGAACGAAATGTCAACGTACAATCCCATCACGCAGACTTCATATTCTGCACTCAGTGAAATAACATCATCCAGAAAAAAGTTGATTTATGAGCATGGTATGTACTAAATCACATTCCAGATGTGTGGGGAGTTGCCTTTTTTTTTTTTTTTTTCTTTTTTTTAATCATTAATGCTCATTTGTATATCGTAATTTGCTCAGTCGTCACTTTTATGGTATTTAAATTGATGTTAAATTGACCAAGGTGTTTCTTTTCCTGCAGAGAATACTTCAGAAGAACCTGCAATTTATTGTGGTCACTTCTCAATTGATAAATCAAGTCAGGTCATGGATACATTCATATCATTCAGCAATTGGGGGAAAGGCATTGTGTTTGTTAATGACTTCAATATAGGAAGATATTGGCCGGTAAAGTAAAATGGCACTTTGTTCCTCTTAACTGAATTTTAATTGTGATTATGCTGCAGAATATGATATTTTCTCCATTCCAAAATACTATAAATAAATATTTATCTTGGATTTGTAAAAACTATAGTTTTAGAATAAAAAGAATTGTTAACACAACTATAATTTTGGAACGGAAAGTTAGTATCTAACAATGATGTTTTTGCTTTCAAATATTAATAATTATAGTCTTTGACAGTTGAGAGGACCACAGTGCAATCTCTACGTTCCTGCTCCACTCCTAAAGGAAGGAGATAACATTTTGGTATGTTATGGGAGTAGATATAATTTAACTGTAGCATTTATAATCGTTTCATATAATGTAAATTTTTGCTCAAAAAATTATATTTCCTTGTAAATATTGATTCTAATCACATTCAAGTTTGATCATATTGTTGTGAACCAATGTGCAGGTAATACTTGAATTGGAATCTCCCGATCCTGATCTTGTGGTACACACAATGGATGAGCCAGACTTCACATGTGGCTCCACTGGGATGAGCCTTCATCAGCTGTAATCAAATGATTCTTCACCTTTTTGAAAATAAGTGGCTATTTGAGTTTCGACCACGACTAAGCTTTTGACTCTTTTGGTTTGATATTTTTAATGTTTTTTATTTTATAAATGTATAATTTACAGACTAATTCCATGACAAATAAAAAAGTTTATCTCTCTATCCTCTCAAAATATAACTCTTTTATCTTAAAATGTCTACTTATTATTTTTAATTGTTTCTCTTTTTCAATAAACTCTTTTTTAACTCCATCCCCAAATTCAATTCCAATGTTTAAGAATTTTTTAATAGTTAAAAATAACACTTTTTAATCAAAATTTACTCATTTTTTATTAAAATTTAAATTATATATTAAGTATTTGTTTATTATAAAATTACACAAAAAGTATTTATTATGATAAAATATATGAATAAACAAATTTTTTGTTATTATTATCATAGATTTCTAACTATTACATGGTTAAGATAGCAGTGAATTTGATATCATTTTAGTACTATTTTCAAAAAAAAAAAATATAGCTATGTACAACCTCTATAAATATATAAATGAGATATTTGATATCCTTTTTAAAATCATTATACCCTTACATATAATAATCAAATTACTAATATAGCTTTTACTAAATGTTACATGTTAAATAATTTTATGTGAAAAGAAAATTTTATCTATCCAATCATTGAATTATCATACATATCCTCATATTAATGTAAAATTTATTAAATTTAAACAACAACAATAATACTACCCAAGATTCATATTCTGATATATTTAAAAAATATAAACATTAAATAATTAATTATATATATATATATATATATATATATATATATATATATATATATATATAAATTAACCATCTTTTATTCAGTTTTTAAAATTTGTTTTTTGTCTCTCGCCTTAATTTAGTATCTATTCTTCTTCTCACTCACACAAAAGAGATATATTTGTTGTTTAGAACAACAACCTTATCAAATAATAATAAGTTTTCATACCACATTCAATAAATGATGGTATTTAGAACAACAGATTGAAAAGGAAGAATCAATAGTTAAATAAATGTTTGAAGTTAGAAATGGAGACATTTTCTTGATAGACATTATTAAAAGTTAAAAATGAGTTTATGTCATGTAAATTATTATTACAAATATAATAACTACTGAAGAAGAGGATTTAATATTTGGAATTGGAGAGGATTAGAAAAAAAAAAAGTGTTTGGTGTAACAGAATCTGTTGAGATGAATGAGATTCTATGTCAGTTCTGGTGAAGTGCATAAGATAAATTAAGAACAAAGATAGCGGAGAGAATGAAGGCTCCCCTTGCGGCTTTATCTATTGCAGGATCAATGGAGAGTGGCACCATCACGTCAAGAACAACCTCACAAGCTTGCGCTGCTTGCAGATACCAACGCAGGAAGTGCGGACCCAACTGCATTCTCGCACCTTTTTTTCCTCATCATCGCCACAAACAATTCCGCCATGCCCATAGGCTCTTCGGAGTTGGCAAAATCACCAACATGATTAAACCTCTCGAGCCTCATAACAGAAACATGGCCATTGCCACCATTCTCTTCGAGTCCGATATGAGAGCCAAGGACCCTGTTGGTGGCTGCTCAAGGATCCTTCAACGCTTGAACTCTCAGATCGCATCTGCTCAAGCCGAACTTCAACTTGTACTTCAACACCTTGCCTTATTCCGAGCACAAGCTCATCATAATTCCAATGCCCCAATCCCTCCATCACCATCACCATCACCCTCATTCTTGCCTACCTCGTCCCCTTACCCTGGACAAATACGACTTCAAGAACAACAACACCATCACGCTTATAACTTGCATGAAGATATGAACATGATGGACCCACACAACCCCGTATCTTTGTTACCCTCTTCCTCGTTGGAAGATGACATCAACCAAAATCAAGATCCCTTTAGTTACCGGTACGATCAGAAATCTGATATTCTTATCTTGTGAATAATAAAATGTGGCTGTTGCCAGTTAGATCAGCCAATTCCTTTCATAAAGAGATAATCCATATTTGATATTTGTCATCTTTCTTAATACTCATTATTATTTACTAAGTTGTTTTACATTATGTCGTTTTTATGTTTTTATAGACTTATAGACTAAAATTGAAATTTTGGGAATTCATGTCCCAACTCGACTTAAACATGCTTGTATAATGTAACCACTCTGTTCTCGTTAGTTCTCGTTAGTTTGATCTATCAGTTTCATGTCTCTTGTGTCAGCTCGTTTGTTTGATCAATGTCTTGTTTGATTAATGTCTTCATTCTCATTTGTTTGTTCGATGTCTTGTTTGTTCGGGTGTTTTTTGATTAATGTCTTCATTCTCATGTTATTTGATTAATGTCTTCATTCTCATTTGTTTGTTCGATGTCTTGTTTGTTCGGGTGTTATTTGATTAATGTCTTGTTTGTTCGGGTGTTATTTGATTAATGTCTTCATTCTCATGTTATTTGATTAATGTCTTCATTCTCATGTTATTTGATTAATGTCTTGATTCTCATGTTATTTGATTAATGTCTTGATTCTCATTTGTAAGTTCGATGTCTATGTTTGATGTCTTGTTTGTTCGGTGTCTTGGGGTGTTGTTTGATTAATGTCTTGTTTGTTCGGTGTCTTTTGTATTTCGTTTGTTTGGTTGGTGTCTGGCTGATTTCTTGCGTCGCTCAATTTAACTGATCAGTGTTTAGCTTATTCTATTTGAATGTTTAGTTCATTCTCATTTGAGTGTTTCGTTCGTTTGATTGATCAGTTTGTTTCTCGCATTTCGTTTGATTTGATTTGTGTTTGTTTATAGTTTAATTTTTGTTTATCGTATAGCTCAATTTGATTGATTTGTACTTATTTCTCATATTGTTCAATTTGATTCACCTGTATTTGTTTCTCATATCATTTATTTATCGTGTCCAATTATTATAATGTACTTCAACTCGGTTAAATTCTTATGTGTCTTAGGAGGAAGTAGTTTAAACTAAACGTAATTAATAAGTGATGATAATAATTCAATATTAAATATTCATTTGTATATAATAAATTGACAGTATTTCTTATATTAAAGTAATTAATAAGTGATGATAATAATTCAATATTAAATATTCATTTGTATATAATAAATTGACAGTATTTCTTATATTAAATATTAATATTATGTGTTGAATAGATAAAATAAAATTTCTTATAGCTGCAGTATTTGTATATCAATCACTTTAAATGCCACAATATAAAATGATAAGTACAACATATTTACTATTTTTTATTTATTTTTTATCTTTTAAATTATAATTAGTAATTTTTTTTACATTAAAAAGACTAAAATAACGTAAATAGAGAGTAAAATATAGATTTAAAATTCGTAGTCACTTTCTATGGTTCATTCATTTGATACCTTTTAGTTACCTTCTGTCATGCAAATCTCGACAAAAAAGAATAATATAACTATTTAATTAAATTTAAAAATAATATTTGCAGTGATATGCACTGGAGGGTTTTCTTGAAAATTTAGGTTTTTAATACAGTTGCAGTGTCTCAAAAAATTCCTATTATAAAATATTAACATGTAATCTTAATATTTTTCTATTATCATTAATTAAGAGTTATGCAATTATTAAATAGCACTTCAATAAACTGTGTTTTAATTATCTGAACACAAAATTTCTAAAATAGTATTAATCTCTTCATGAATGTTATTATATTGTAACTAAAAATTTTAGTTTTTGAATGACTTATAAATACACATTGAATTATGTTCAGATGATACAATATCATATAATTATGTAATTTATTTTATTACTTGTATTATATATGAAATAATTTATAGTTGAGCAAATGTCCTTAGAATTATACCATATAATATATTTATTAATAGTGATAGTTTGTTAATTATGTTTGTACTTTGTTTTGATATTTTATGTTGCGTGATGAGTTAAAGAAAACATGTTTAGTGAATGAATGTAAGTGTTATTTTATTATTATTGAAGTTAACTCTTTAGTTTTCTTCTCCTTTTATTCAAAGTAATTTGTCATTAATTACAGAAAAAAGGTAATTGTATATACCATGATTGAACCAGATAGAATATATATATATATATATATATATATATATATATATATATATATATATATATATATATATATATATATATATATATATATATATAAAAGAACTGACCCTAAAATAGATTGCATAATTTCATGCATGCTTTGACCAGAAACAGTATAAGCATATGCTTCAGAAATAGAAGAAATAAAATTTTAGTTTGAAACATTGAGAGCAGAAGAATGGTGAAGCTTGCAAGTGTGAAGCTGCAACTCCAACTGCAAGTTCTTCTTCCTCTCATTTTCCAGTGCAGCCCTCAGCCTAGAAATCTCCTTGTGCTCTTCACCATGATCAGCAGCAGCAGCTACTTGATGATCACTCTCCTCTTCTCCTTGTATCGTTTTCACCAGAAACTTCACTTCCAACAGCTCTTGTTCCAAGCTCCCTTTCAACACATTCAGAGTCGCCAACATCTTTTCCTTCTTCACGCCACCACCACCCGCTATGCTTGCTGCTGCTGCACCACCACCAACATAAACATGCTCCCCCATTTGTTGGGTACCCGCTTCCCTTCCAAACGCAACCTCTTTTGCCACCGCATCATCGTTTGGGAACACAGGATCAAGCTCCAACCCGTCTTGGTTGAAGTTCCACCCGCTGATCCTTCTCTCCTTCACCAGCATGGCAGGGTCTTCTTCATCATCATCATCATCATGCTCCCCCTCATCTGCATGCTCATTAACCTTGTTATCCTTATACCTTTTCTCCACACTGGGCAACCCTTGGAGAACGTTCCTCACCAGAAAATCAGTTCCCTTACAGTTTTTAAAGAAGGGGTGTTTCAGCAACTTATCAGCTGTGGGTCTTTTGGAAGGATCTTGGTCTAGACAAGAAGCCACCATGTCCTTGAACGCCTTGGAGAACTTCTTTCCATTCCCCTTTCTATACTTATCAAAATGGTGATCTTGAGCATCATGGACTTGGAAGGTGGAAGGTGAGAGAGAGGAGGCCTTCCATGCGCCAGCTCCAAAGCTGTTATCCCGAAGGACCATATATCAGCCTTGAAACTGTACCCTGTGTGCGAGTGAATCACCTCAGGAGCCATCCAATACGGCGTGCCGGCAACGTCGGTGAACTTGAGAGAGGAACACGTGGAGGACTCGTAGATCGAAGCCGACACGCCGAAATCTGCGAGCTTCACTTGCCCGTTTGTGTCGACGAGGACGTTACCGGCTTTTATGTCTCGGTGGAGGTGGCCCTGGCCGTGTAGGTAGGAGAGGGCGTTGAGGGTGTCTCTGAGAACCACCGCGATGCAGGGTTCGGTTAAGCCGTCGGGGTGGCAGTGAGAGATGATGGATTGGAGAGACCCTGCGGCCATGAAGGGCATCACCACCCAGAGGCGGCGATCGACGGTGAAGGAGCAGTGTGCTTTGAGGATGTTAGGGTGAGAAAGGAGGGATAGGGTTTTGGCCTCCCGACGAACATCGTCCAAGTCGGGGCGGGAACGGTCCAGGTCTATGGATTTGATTGCCACCGCGGCGGAGTTCATGGGGATGCAGAGGGCTTTGTACACGACGGCGCTCACGACGGCGCCGATCTCGTTGAGGAGCTTGTACGAGGAAGAGTCCAATGGGTAATGAACCCTTTTCGCTGCTTCTTCTACTTGGTTGGTTGCCATGGAATTGAAGAACCACTGATGGTGTGAGATCGGAGAATGAACGATGCATTGTTGCATGAAGATCTGGAGGAATTAATGGAGGAAGAAAGTGCGTGATTCAGAGCGGTTTTCTTGTGATTGCTGAAGAAAAAAATAAAGTTTTGTCGTGATTTCTCCGTGCATGCATGTGAATCATCACTGCATGCATAGCCAATCAATCGCCTTTTTCTGGTAAAGAAACAAAGAGAAGATTACTCGTTTATTTCTTTTTCCTTAAATATATCAGTTTGAATAACGTGAATGGAAAGTTAATTAACCGAGATGTTCGAGTATTCACTTAAAGTATTTTTTTCGAGTATCTCTTAAAATTCTTTTCTTCAGATACATAGATCACTGTAAAACACATTCTGATGCTTAAATCAGGTTCTAAACAAATTAGTTATGAGGTGTTAATATTTCTTTATTATTTAAATTTTTTTATATAATATTAAAAAAATAACAATAAACTGAAATATAATAACTACTAATACATAAAATAATAACTAGTACAAGATATTATAATAAAATAAAAATAATTAATAACAAAATAACAAAAATAATTAATAATAAAATAATTATCATCTCCACCTCCTTTATTTTCATACGTTCAGGATTTACTTTTAATCTGTATATTTGAAAAAATAAAATGGATTGTTTAATGCTTATACATCTATTTGAACGTGTGTTGATTTAGTTCGGAGGATTTTTATTTTTTTTTATATTTATGGGTTTTTTTATTATACTTTTATTTCCGTTGGTGAGGATGTTCATCCTTCTTTCTTTGTAATTTGTTTGGACGTGGGAATCAAAGATGATGCAAGCTGGTGCTGTGCTGGGTCCCATAGAAAAGTCTGGTTAATCAGTGAACTGGGCGAGTCACGTTGTTGGAACATCTTGATGCTCAATGCAGCCTCTAAGTGGTTCCGTTCTCTCTTTTCACCTTTCCAACCCATTTTATTGATATCTTGTTCAATATCCCACCTTCACACGCACCCATTCTACTTTGCCCACAATCATGAACTTGTTGATTCTATCGACGCCTTCTCCCAAAGTTGCCTCACTCTGCATCAAGCTCGTCAGCTTCACTCCCAATTGCTTCTGACCGCTGGGCATCGTTTACCCTTCTTGGCCGCCAGGCTTATAGCCCTTTACGCCCGCTTTGGCTTTCTCTCTGACGCTCGCAAAGTGTTTCATGCAATCCCAGTTGAGGGACTCCATCATCTTCTTTTGTGGAACTCCATTGTCAGAGCCAATGTATCTCATGGCTACCATCAACATGCGCTTCAACTTTATCTTGATATGCGAAAGCTTGGATTTTCGCCCGATGGGTTCACTCTTCCCTTGATAATTCGGGCTTGCTCGTCTCTGGGTAGGTCTGATTTCTGCAGGATTGTCCATTGTCATGCTTTGCAACTGGGATTTCGAAATCACCTTCATGTTGTCAATGAACTGGTGGGTATGTATGGGAAGCTGGGGCGAATGGAGGATGCTAGCCAACTGTTTGATGGAATGTCTGTTAGAAGCCTCGTCTCGTGGAACACTATGGTTTCGGGTTATGCTTTCAACTGTGATTCTCTCGGTGCTTCTGCGATTTTTGGAAGGATGGAGTTGGAAGGTTTGCAGCCTAATTCTGTGACGTGGACCTCACTCTTGTCGAGCCATGCAAGATGTGGGCTTTATGATGAAACTCTTGAGTTGTTTAAGGTGATGAGGACAAGGATAATTGAAATCAGTGCTGAAGCACTGGCCGTGGTGTTGTCTGTGTGTGCTGATATGACTGATGTTGACTGGGGAAAAGAAATCCATGGGTTTGTTGTTAAAGGCGGATATGACGGTTATTTGTATGTGAAAAATGCCCTGATAGGTACTTATGGGAAGCACCAACATTTGGGGGATGCACATAAAGTGTTTTTGGATATAAAGAACAAGAACCTAGTGAGTTGGAATGCTTTGATATCGTCATATGCTGAATCTGGATTGTGTGAGGAGGCCTATGCAGCATTTTTGCAGATGGATAAATCATGTAAAGATGGTCTTTCCCCCATGAGGCCTAATGTCATAAGTTGGAGTGCAGTGATTAATGGCTTTGCTTCTAAGGGGCTTGGCGAGAAGTCACTGGAACTTTTTAGGCAAATGCAGCTTGCCAAAGTAATGGCCAATTGTGTGACAATTTCCAGCCTTTTATCAGTCTGTGCGGAGTTAGCAGCATTGAATGTTGGCAGGGAGCTCCATGGTCATGCCATTAGAAATTTGGTGGGTGACAATATTTTGGTGGGAAATGGTCTGATTAACATGTATATGAAGTGTGGGAGCTTCAAGGAAGGACATTTAGTATTTGATAACCTTAAGGGTAGAGATTTAATCTCCTGGAACTCATTAATTGGGGGTTATGGAATGCATGGGCTTGGTGATAATGCTTTAATTAGTTTTGATGAGATGATTAGAGCTGGAATGAAGCCAGACAACGTCACTTTCGTGGCTATTCTATCTGCTTGCAGTCATGCTGGACTTGTTGCTGCTGGTCGCAACATTTTTTATCAGATGACCAGAAAGTTTAGGATTGAACCTAACGTAGAGCATTACGCTTGCATGGTTGATCTCCTTGGCCGTGCTGGACTTTTGAAGGAAGCAACTGATTTTGTTCGAAACATGCCTATTGAACCTAATGAGTATGTTTGGGGAGCTCTTTTAAACTCATGTAGAATGTACAAGGACATGGACATTGTACAAGAAACAGCATCACAAATTCTAACCCTGAAGTCAAAAATAACAGGGAGCGTCATGCTGCTGTCCAATATTTATGCTGCAAATGGAAGATGGGATGACTCTGCAAAAGTGAGGGTGTCGGCAAGGACAAAAGGTCTTAAAAAAATACCTGGTCAGAGTTGGATTGAGGTGAGAAAAAAAGTTTACACATTTTCAGCAGGGAATTCAGTCCATTTGGGTCTGGATGAAGTTTATGTGATCCTTGAAGAGTTGGCCCTTCACATGGCGAGTGACAATCATAAAGGCGATAGTTGGTTTAGTCAAGAATTTGTTTATGACCAATCATTGCTCTTGTTGCAATCTGAGAGCTGAGAGGGTAGATATTATATTTTACCATGACTTAGTCCGTGACTACTGGACAATGACACTCTGAATTTTAGTTATCTAGGAATTTTGGCTACATATTAGTGTATCTTGTCATAATGTACTCAATGCATCATGAATTACTGCTGAACAATTCGAAGAGTAGAAAACAAATAAAATTACATGATTAAAACAACATGAAAGTACATATTTATACATCATAAAATTTAGAACTAAAATACACTTGGAATGGGAAGCAGGGTGATGCACTCTCAATTCCTTTCTTTGACTTTCTTTCTACAGATTAATTTTTCAGAATCCTTAAGATGAAAGACCTTATACCAGTAACAGCCAGTTTCCACATATAATAAGGATGAGGGTAAAATTTTAACTTGAATAAAATAGTGAAAACACTTAAATTGCTAGCTTCTTGCCCATTCCACTCTTTTTACTGAATATATTTGTTCTGTTGTTTTTTTTTACTGTGCACAAGCATGTGCTATCTATCAGTTAATTTCTTGGGTGATGGAAAAAATTATTCAGTTTCTAAACCCTTGGAGATCAATCTTTTAGGTAAATGGAGGGGACATCTCTATTAATTCACATCCCACTATTTCCGGAAAATTGCAAGCAGATATGGAGAGGTCGACTTCTAGAATTCCTCAACTTGATGGACCAATTCCATTCGATGATGATGTGCTTTCTACTCCAAATGTGAGTAGTGATATTTGTCCCCTCTCCATCCTGCACTCATGATCTTTTGTAACCAAACACATTTGTTCTTTCCCTCCACACCCAGAGATGCATTTACTTTGTTTACTTGTTTTGATTTCCTGTTGTACGTTATAATTTTGTGAAATCACATACCAACCCTTTTTAGTTCTTGGTCGGGCTTTCTATTTTGCAATTAATAACCTCATTTAATGTTAAGGTTTCAAAAGCCACTTTATTTGTATTTGATGAGTTCTTATTCATCATAATTTGAATTATTATTTTGTTGCAAAACTATAATTGTAATGGATCATTGTAGATCATTTGGTAACTTCTGTACGGTGAGAAAAAACACAGTTTTAAGTACTCCCATTTACATGAATGTCTGTTTTTCAGCTTCCCCTGTTTAATATTTGATAAAACCGAATGGCTAAAAATGTAATTCCAAGGAACTTTATATCTCTAAGAGGAATTAAGGTATTTTTTTTATTCTTAAAGTGGTTGGTTATGAATTCAAGATGGGTATTGTAATATTCTAACATGTTTTTAATCTGGAACATGAATTAGCTGCTTATTTAGTAATGGTGAGTGATTTGCTTAGTTGCTATAACCAAAGTGAATGTTACTTATGGTACTTGGAAACTCCAATTGATTGGATGCACTAATATTTAGCCAAAAGAGAAGAAAATTGTACTGTAAGATTCCACTTAACACCGCAATAACTAATTGCATTATGGTTTATTTGACACTTCCCTCCACCATGTCTTGCATTCCATCATCTTGGTCTGCTTCATCCTGTGGCAGATATACAACTATGGGGAAGTGTTCAGTGAAGACTACAACATTTCTAATACACCAGCTCCTCCTGGTACGTTGATAATGTTAATGTATTAATTATATTTTGAATATTTTTTGGCTTATTATTAGATATTTTAAGTCATAGTTGCTGATTCTTTTTCCTTTATTAATTATAGAAGTGCCAGCTAGCACCCCTGCTCTCGTAGCGCAGAATGAGGTGGGAAATGAAGAAGATGATGACGAAGAACCTCCCTTAAATGAAGAAGATGATGATGATTTGGATGACATGAAACAAGGAGAGGATCAAAATACACATCATCTTGTTTTGGCCCAGTTTGATAAGGTAGCAACCTCCCTATACTCTAAACTAGATGTCATGGAATTGTAATATTTTGTAGGTAGCGTGTTTCAGGGTTGGATAATTTGTGTTTCTAATATGGTCTATCTTGCTAAAAATTTAGGTTACACGCACCAAGAGCAGGTGGAAATGCACATTAAAGGATGGCATCATGCACATAAATAATAAGGACATTCTCTTCAACAAGGTTTGTCACTGTTGAAGGAGAACAAGCAATGTTATTTTCTATTTTTCCAATTTGATTTATCAAAGTGTCATACATCTCTGCAGGCGACGGGAGAGTTTGACTTCTGATTTTGTTGGAGATGGTGCCTTCGTGAAAGCTGATTCGGAGAAGTCATTGAGTGTTTCATCATCTTTCTTTGATTATAATTATTAAGTGAAAGATTCAGGAAGAGAAAAAAAAAATCCTTTTACCCAATCGAGACTGTGGTTTGATGTTGGCCTATTGTACATAGAGAATGAGCATTTTTTGGCCTTTACCTGATGGTTACGGACTCGGGCGTTTCCTTAAGCCCTGCAATTGTAGTATGTGGTTTCTTTAGTTCTGTATACTTGGCCGTTTGGGTTGATTTAAGAATCCTGTGTATGATAATGATAGTTAATTTTGGCATAAACTTCATCCAGACCCAAATGGACTGAATTTGCAGCTGAAAATGTGATAACCAACTGACCTTTTCTCCTGCAGAGTCTTACAACCATCTTTCGTTTCAGCATTAATATTGGACAGCTGCATAAAGCGCCCAGTTACTTTTTACTTTAGGGTTAGAATTTGTGATGTTTCTTATACAATGGCCGTATCTTTACATTACATTCTTACATGAATTTAGAGCTCCCAAACATATACTCATTAGTTTTAGAAGACATATTTTGAACAATATCAGTTGCGACAAGTCCAGCACTATCAAAAAGATCAACAATGAAAAGTCCAGCATGTCTGCAAGCCGATAGAATAGCAGCAAAAGTTACGTTGTCTGGCTCGATTCTGGCTGTAATAATCTCATGGAAATTTCTTAAAGCATTCTCATCAAGCCCACGTTATCAAACATCAAACGTCCTTCCTTTATACATATTAATCAGACCATTTCCACAGAAATAGTCAGCCATCAGATTGGTAATGGCGGAACATGGAGCTCCATGCCAAGATTCAATGCACAAACTGATAAAACGGTGGAAGTTGTAAAACTGCCTTTGCCTAAAAATAATCACTGCACTCCAACCTCCGACATTTGGCCTCATCGGGGAATAATTTGATTTCTCCATCTGCACAGAACTCACAATCCAGACTTTTAAGCTCTTGTTCTTTGTATCCAGAAACACTGTGATTACCCCAAAGGTTGGTGCTTCCCGTATGTACTTAATAGTGCATTTTTCTCAAACAAATAATCTTCATATCCACCTTTAACAACAAACCCATGGATTTCTTTTCTACTGTCAACTTCACTCATATCACCACACACACAACCAGTGCTTCAGCACTGATTTCCAGTATTCTTTTCCTCATCATAAAGCCCACATCTAGCATGACTCCGCAAGAGTGAGGTCCAAGAGCGTAATAGGAAAAACCAAAGCGCGCGTAAACGGCTACGAGAAGCAATTGGGAGTGAAGCTGGAACCTTGCCACATTCACTAGCCTTTTTCTAAAGGAACCAAATTCACTAGTATAAAAATAAGATTTTAAGTGTTTTAATGCTAGTCACGTAAAGTTAAATATTGATTTACTTACATTGTTTAAAACGAATTGGTTTCATTAAATAAATAAATAAAAAAATCTATTCAAACAACTCATGAATTTCATTGCAAAAAGTTTTACACTTATCATTTTTTATTTTATAGTTGACATTTTACAACTCATGAATTCTATCTGCCCAAACTGATAAAACGCCATATTAAATAGATAGGGTTGTCTTTATCTTCAATAAGTTTTCGCTATACTAAAAAGGTTTACTTTATTTTTCATAATATAAATTCAACCCTACTAAAAAAGTGTAACTTGAGAAATTAAAAATGCATCTACCCTTCTAAAGTTGACATTTGTGGACTATAAGCACGTCACTGTTTATTCTAAAAAAAAATAGCCTACCGTTTTTCACTTCATAAAAGGAAATTTTATAATTTGTTCAACAACTAACACAGCTGCTGTTTTGTAATTTTTATTAAAAATAATTTGTTCAATAGCTAAAAGAATTATTTTTTTAGTTTTTACCTAAAAAAACTATAGACTTTGTATACCTTTCATTAAAATTTTTAAAATAAAATAAATTATAAAAAAAGGCAGGAAATAAGAGAGTGAGCAAGAAAATAAAACAACAGATAAGTGGAGGAGAATAAGAGAATCTATGGAATACACTTTGTAAAGTAATATTTATAAAAGAATATAGATAATCATAAGGTTTAAAAGAAAATCTTTTTGATTTTTATTAATTTTTGTTTTGTTTTTTTTTATATCATGAAAAATAAAAACAAATGTATAAGAAAGAAAAAAAATAAAAAGATATATAAGAAAATATTTTTGCAAATACTGCCGCAATATGCAAAGTATTCTTCAACCCACACAGATAGATTCACGAGACTTAGGGTTTTCATGGTTCTCTTAGTCTTAACATGTCCTCTCTATAAAGGGTATCATAGCAAATACAAACAAGTTCAATTGCAAAAATATTCAGGTAACCGATAATTTCTCGCTCTGATACCAAAATGGAAGACACAAAACAGAAAAACCCAGAAGGGTGAAACCCGGGGAAAAACTGCTCTGATCCCATGAAAAGGAGGGGGAAAAAGGGATATGAGGGAAAAAGAAATAAATAAAAAATATGTTATAACTCTTTATCTCTTCTGTAAGTCAACGTGGCTACTTAGCTTCAAAGGAAGAACCTGAAACTAGACTAGCTTAAATGAAGACTGTATGAGATAAAATCAGTTATAGCAAGAAAATGTTCAAAATAAGATTATGAGATGACTGAATCTGGCAGAGCTGGTTAGACATCTCCTCATAAGCTTACATGAACATAAAAGTTATACAAAAAATTTTAAGACTTTAAATGATTATCGTATCTTTTAATAAATACTACTTAAGGCATCCGAGGACACCCTTAAAAGAAAACTACTCTATAAGAGAGTAAAGAAAACTTACTCGGATGGGGGAAGGACAAGGGGAATTTGAAAGTGCTTCTCTTATTGATGGAGATAAATTTACTTGAGAGAGGGAGAGGGGTAGAGAGAAGGAGGAGAGTGAAAAAAGAGAATGGGAGAGGGACTTCTGAGGATATTTGCCCAGAATAAGAGACTTACGAGTCCTTTTATAAGCAAATGTAAAAGAAAATAATAAATAAAAAATTTAAAATGTGAAACCCACTTAAATATTTTATGGGTCGTTGAGAAACATGTGTGGGGGTGTAAGCCGATGCTAAAATCAAATTTGATTAAAATATTATTATTTTATTTTTTATTATATATATATATATATAATTATTTTTTTGTAGAAAAATTTCTACCGCTTTGTTTTCAAAAGATTGGTTCAATCTTTCAGTCTTTAACACGCAAGGTTTAAAGGACCTAACAACATGTAACGGTAGAGGAACCACGACAAGGTAACAAGATATCATTATTTGTCATTAACCTTTGTTATCTTATGATATTACTGTATGACGTAAGGGTTTATGTCATGAGAAGTTCCTCGAAATCTTCAAGGGTAAATTCGTCTTTATATGAAAGACTCATTGATTGTGGTGAGACGGGGTTTTTACAGTTCCACCGTATATATGAAGTTTTGCCAAGTCTTACCTAAAGACTGATTGTTATAGTTTCGGCTAACAACTCCTTTTTGATATCTTCTTCTAGGAATTGATCATACTTTGTTGAAGTGAAAGGATAGTTGTCAAGATCAATTTTTTGGAGTGTATCATCGAAGAAAATGTCATGAATGACTCAAAATCCAGAAACAGATGATGTTTTGTTGGACTATATTCTCCTTTTGTGTTGCTGGGGTGTGTAAAGAATATTTCAATAAAATATTCTTCATTGTAATCACACTGAAAAAGCACATTTATCCAATAGTTAATTTTGTATCGAAAAATGGTTTTATCATTGCATCCCTGAAAATAATCATCATTTTCATGAACCCTGAAAAGAATAAATCTTCAATTAATCTTTTGTTAATCCAGGCAGGATCACATTCCACCAAATAAGGATTTATTCCGATGTTGTATTGATCGGAAGATGAAGGGGCCAAATTATCCTGATATTGGATTATCCTCAAGTGTTGTCGGAGTGCAGAATCTTCTGGTAGTTGGAATAATCAAATCTGGAGTGCTCCAAGTTCTACTAACAAGACATCTGAAGCATGTTGGTAGATTTTTCTTTGATTGGGTTGGGTAGATGGCCCAAAAATTATTTTGAATGACCCAATATAGGTCATATGCTTTGTGAAGTTTCCATAATCAATGGTTCCAAAATCATAGTCCATCTTTTGATGGAGATCTAAAATTTCAGTTTTTAATATTTTCTTTTCTTTTTCCAAATAGGAAATATATTTTTGAAAATCTTTTTTCTGTTGAAAAAGAGAGGTTTTCAATTTTTGTTCCATTTTTCTGGAAAAAGCCAAATGTTATCTGAGTTTAATGGAATCATAAATTGAAAAATTCTCTTGTTTTGTTGGTTTTTCAAAAATGAAATTACCAACTTCTGGATGGTCCAACATGTTGTTATCACCTCCAACATAACTGACCATTGCCTGTACAACTTCTTCAAGGTTACAGAATCCTTGAAATTTGTTGTGTTTGTCATTACCTATTGCCTTCAAAAGAGAGGGATATGATAGGTAGACGCCACACTTATCATTAGTAAAAAGGCAGTAGGCCTCATTCTTGGGTTTTTTAAAGGAAGCGACAATATTTTTACAAAGTAGTAATTTAATGCATTAATAGCATCAAGTAGAACCTTTTGTTCCCTTGAAACGGGACAATTTTTGAGTAACCTGAACCCATTGGATGAATTCTCTGGAAGAACAGGAAGATGTTGTGTACCAAACTTTAGAGTATCAAACTCTTTAGTTGCTGATGCTAGTGACTTGCCTTTGTTGATTGGACTTGTCATATCTATATCTGTGTAACTGATAGAATTCTGTAATACCCTTTTGTTATATTTCTTATTACAATAAGAAATTATTGTATTCATTAGACAATACCCAAAATCATCAAATATTTCTTCTAATTTATTATATTTATTATCCACTTGGAAATCATATTCTTGTGGATAAATGTGTATGAATTCATTATTTGTGAAATCATTTATTAGCCCATAATCTTTGTGGCTTTTGTCCAAATTGATTTCATCTGTGTATTCTATTATACTAATCACTGATAGTATTTCAGAGTCTGTAGAAATATCTTCATCAATGGGAAGAAGGTTCATGTGGCAAGATTTTATAAGTTCTGTCTCTTTTGTGTAAAGGTTTGCTAGATTAGGACAATCTATAGAGAAATGTCCTGGTTGGTTGCAAGCGAAACATTTTAATATTTACTTGTATGTTTTATTGTCTCTAAATCTCCTAACGTGTTTGTTAGGATTTAGAGTTGGTTTTCTAGAATTTGAAGACCTAATCGTATATGTCTTTCTAGAAGTAGTGAGTTTCTATTTTGTAGAATAAGAATTATGATTGTAATTTTTATTATACCTAGGTTTACTCCTAGGTAAATACCTTCTGTAAGGTTTTTTTTTATTACACTGTTGAGGAGTATATATTTGTTTGCAAATTCCAGCACCAGAATTTTTTAATTGCTTTTGTATAGCAATATGTGTACACGTATCTTCCATCATTTCATGATGTGTTGTATACATATAGAGAGGTTATTCAACATGGGAGTGACCTCATCATTTTTCCAGGATTCTCGGATCTTTTGGCCTAGTTTTCCTGATAGTTTGAGAAACATCTTTTCTCCTACACTTAAATCATGAAAACAACCAGCTATGGATGCGTACATGAGATAATCTTGTAAAAATTATTTTATCTTTCTAAAGTACGTTATGGAAAGTCTTTCTAGATGACCTAGATAGATTTGTTGTCTAAGAGTATTCTCATCATTAGCAGATTGGTAAGTGAGTAATCTCTGTAAAAGAGAACAAAAATTGTATATGTTAGGATCTGGTTTCATCACTAACATGTTTCAATCAGCTGGGTAATTCTTTTTGAAAGATTCTCAACATGCTCTGGCTATGTCACCTAAATAGGTTTCACCTTTAGCAATCATTTCTTGAGAAGATTGAACATCTTTCTCATGGTGTATTCCATGATCACGAATTACGGCTGTCGTCCATTGTTCAATATATGTCGGCAATAGTTGAGGATCTATTCCTCCTATGTTTAGAAGAAGGTTAGGGCATTTGAAAATTTGATTCAATTAGGAGCCTTTTGCCTTGTGTTGTGTATTGATTGTTACTAAAAACAACATTTTGTGGTGACTCTTTGGGCAAAAAATCAATCGAATAACTTTGTACACCATCAAGTTCTACCTGATAGCTATGAGG